GTATGTCTACTAATATTTTACTTTGCAAATAGATGACAGTTATTTCTGAATGAGGGTAAAATGTTCTCAACAATATCTCTATTAAATTCAGGCAAAGAAAGTTCAGCAAAGGGCTTTAGGAGATTAAGGAGTGGAGCAGGAGGTTTGTCAACTAGTCGACTGCAGTTTAAATTTGGCACTTTTTACTCTTTGTTTCCACTCACTGATTAGTTTGTTTTTCACTCAGTTTCGGGGTTTGCATTCATTAGCACCAAAATGCACTTTAAGGGTTGGGCTAAGATGTGGTTTGGGTTAATATATGACTATAAATATGAATATAAATGGAAATGAGAATGAGAAAAAGCTTGCTCACCTCACAGTCCCAATAACAACGGATGCACTACAGCACTTTTTATGTAATGTCCTAAGTGTGAAACTAATAAATAATAATAACATAGGGTAACCCTGTATCTGGAACATTAACTAACATCACACAAAGTCTTCACATTTTCTTGTTTTGATTTCCGTATGAGGAAATTGTTGTCAACAAACCATGTGTTGTCTACTGTAAACAGCCCACTGTAAGAAAACCAATATGAGAGTCAAACATAAAATACCATGAGTGTGTTGCTGGTGTTGTTTCATGTGTTTAAGCTTTGTAAATGGCATATTTCCATTGTGGTAGTGCAGTGAAACAGCACGACAATGAGGAGCCAATAAGATTGCTCTAAAAGTTGTCCCCTCCCATGCGATACGGTTAAATGTAGACAAATCCTTTCATAATGCAGCTTCAAACGTCTGCTGTGTCAAGAGGAAAAAAACAAAATGCTGACATTTTTTTATATACTGCTCCTGATCAATATTGGGCGTAAGTATAGAAATCGTACTCACTGTACTGTCACCGTTTATATTAATATGAATGTTTATATGACTGTATCACTTTTGATGAGCATGATTCTGTTTGTCATTAATTTTCAGGATGCTCAGATCATCAGATCTTTGACACCAAAAATGTTGCTGTTGGGCAAAATGTGACTCTAAATTGTTCCCGGGATCGTCGTTGGCTTTTAACAAACTTATTCTGGATCAGACTTGTTTCTCAGAGCTTTCCTGAAGTTTTAGGATCAACAATATCTCATGATTCTCCGACTATTGAAAACATTCATCACATTACAACAAAACAAGAGCCTGGAACTTTTGTTCTACATATCAACAGAGCACAGTTAAGCGATACAGCTGTTTATTACTGCATCAAAGAAAGTCAGCTAACCATGACATTTTTGAAAGGAACTTTTCTTCGAGTCAAAGGTAAGTGAAACAGAAACAGCAACACTAATGCGCCAGGAATAGCAAAATTATTTGCAGTTCTTGTACTTTTGTTGCACAACTCACAGTTCCTAAATATGCTCTATTTTAATGTATTTGAATTGTTTTAAATTCAACATATTTAATGAAACAACTTTATTTGCCCAATATGCAATAATTTAATATATTTTTGATTTAACTGAATATAATGAAACATATTTATTTTTATTTCGTAGGACCCGACCCAGGCATCACTGGTGTCACTCAAGACTCTTTGTCTAATCCCATCCATCCAGGAGACCCAGTGACTCTGCAGTGTTCAGTCGTCTCTAATTCTGAGAACAGAACATGTACAGAAGATCACAGTGTGTACTGGTACAGAGCCAAACCGGATGAGTCTCATCCAAGTTTAATTTATATTCAAGGAAACAATAGTTATGACTGTGAGCGGAGTCCTGAGGCTGCCTCCACACAGAAATGTGTCTACAGCTTCTCCAGGAACGTCAGCTCGTCTGATACAGGAACTTATTACTGTGCTGTGGCCACATGTGGAGAGATACTGTTTGGAAATGGAACAAAACTCGATATTGAAGGTAAGAATTTTTCTATAAATTATTGTTCATATTTTAGTCCATATTAATACATTATTATTATTACACATCAATATTAGTTTTACATTTCACTCTTATTTCACATTAAATAAGAACTTTTTTCAATATAGTTCCAGTTGTCCGTCATTGGGATTTGACCAACACCGTTGTCTTTCTGCTATGTGTTGCTCTCAGCATAAGCCTGTTTGTCATAGCCTTCCTCATTTATACCATCAAAGAAAAAAACAAAACCTCAGGTAAGAACAGTTATTTCAGTAAAGTAAAATACAGTGAAACATTTGCTTCTGGTCACTATTTACAGTTATTTTCTTTTGTTCAAATTGTTTTAATCCAGCTGCTGCTTCTCTACAAACAAATACAGAAACAGCTGGTGCAGAACAACAAATCCAGCAAGTAAGAAATTTAGAAATAAACAGCAATCAGCGCATAGCTATGAGCAATTTTTCTTGTTAGTCTATGGATGTGCATAAAAGTTGATGGATTTTTTATTTTATTTCCCAGAGACATGAAGACTCATTGACTTATGGTGCACCAACTTTTACCAAGAGAAACACTCGCAAAGCAGAGAGAAGGAACACGAGAGCAACAGAGACAATTTGTATTTACTCTGATGTCAGAGCTTTTGAGTATGGAAAAAGTGATGCTTGAGCAAAGCTTGTATTTCATCTCACTGGGCCATCAGCTAATACACTATGTGGCAGCTAATGTATTATTGTATGTTTAAACCTGATGTATTTATTTGTAATGACTGTACATAAAATATGAATAATCATTTGGCTTACCTTTAGTAACTCACAAGAATTCAATTTGGAAGAACAAAATCCATCTTCACTTTGGACTGATATGTTATATTGGCATGCCCAGACTCTTAGTGTGTTTTAAATGCATTCCTTTACCCTTTCTGTTTTCCTTTGTGTCCGCTGTAATAGAAATACAGAAATCTACACAGAAACATCTAAAATACTACTTTGTTTTGTGAGTTCTTTGTATCTTTCAGCTATTTTTGTCAGGTGTTCTGAAAATAAGCAGAAAATAAACTTTGCTTTTCATGGGGCTCTTGCAGAAGCTTTATTAAAACAATCAAATGATGTCTGAAGTATGTCTGGTTTCTCAGCTTTCCACCAAAGACTTCATCATATATGAGGTGTAACTCAGTTTCCATTTGTTGCAAACTGATGCTGGTTTGACTGTTGCTGTGCAATACAAGTGCTCTGAAAATGGAATCAATTAAATCCATCCAACATGAAATCAAAATA